ATATTATTTTGAAAAAATTGTAAATATAAGCTATTTCAGGCGGTTTCCTGCTCGATATGCTTGGAAGTGTCAGCCAACGGCTCACTTCAAGGACAACATCTATCCAAGCATGTAGGTTTCAACTAATTTTAATTATATTACTTTAATCTCTTAAGGCTCCTTTTTGTTTTAGCTTTGGAAGGCTTTGAGAAACGATGTTTTCGCAGTAGTAATTTCTTTCGTGTAAAGTTAAACGTGATGAGCTACCTAGGTGTTTCTAATATAAAGATCTTAGGGTTTTATTTTTCATACCTCTGCGCTAGCATAATAGCGACGTATCTATTAGAAAATTTGGAAATTTCCTTGAAGAAATTGCTGAATTTTCTATGATGGGCTTTCCACATTTATCCGATTTGGCTTTATTCTCTTATATTTAACATAATATATTCAGACCTTCTCCATATTTAACGCATCCTACTTGTCATAACTATTTGAGCATGGTAAACTTTCAAAAGAATTTCATCATTCATCTTATCAGCGATTTTTACAGGTAGATTCATACGAGCACGATGGGAGCGTGGCTACTACAAAGACTTGTATCATCGCAGGCAGCTTCTAGGGGCTGACCCTTTTATACATCGATCATCTTATCCCAACTGGTAAACTTTTTTTTGCAGATTTGAAGTAAAGTTCTGTTCTGGTTGCGCCAATCCTCTTCCTCATTATTGTTTCGTATCAATCTTTCCCATGTTTTTTTTTCTAATTAAGCCCTGTACCATGGGCACTTATAGTGTGCGTTCTCATCACTGTTTCGGAGGTGTGGCTCACCAATGGAGTCCCATTGAGACAAGTGTGGACTCAAGCTCTAAAGATTACCAACAGAACTATGCGCAGATGAAAGAAGTTGTGGATGATTTACGAGAGAAAGTGAAGAAAATCATCGAAGGAGGAGGGGAGAAAGCTCGAGCTCTGCATAAAAGTCGAGGGAAAATGCTTGCGCGAGAGCGCATCAATGCCTTAATTGATTCTGGAACAGCATTCCTTGAACTGAGCCAGTTGGCTGGATATCAATCTTATGGAAAGGAAGAAGTACCGGCTGGAGGCATAATCACAGGTGTAGGCTCTGTTTCTGGCCGTGTCTGCATCATCGTAGCAAACGACGCAACAGTGAAAGGAGGAACCTACTATCCGATAACAGTCAAGAAGCATTTGAGAGCACAAGAGAT